TAGATCATAGTTAGAAAGCAGAAAAGATTGTGAAATGAGACAATTTTAGAGGCGAAAATTTTCCGTCGCTGCCAGTTTCGAACCTGGGTTCTTTTTGAATGAAAGGCGAACACTGTAGCCTAGACCACGATAGCCACCTCTGGATGCTGTTCAGTTACTTCATAATATCAATATCATGTGTTGCATCGTGGTGTAATCGGGCGCTCGGCAAAATCTTAGATGTGAAGAAACTGACATTTCACACCCGTTGCGCTAACTTTATCAAATTATTTGTTTGGGCTCAACACATTTTATGTCCATTTAACAAAACATTCCTGCTTGCATTTTACTGAAATCGTTGATCAAAGGCACAAAACATTTAAATTTACAGTTTTCAAGGACACTTTAGATTTCTTTCTTCTTATTCGTCTATCCCTGGGTTGGGGCAGCCGTGAGGGCACCACTGCATCTGAATACCAGCTCTTGCCATCTATTTTTGTCCTCTGCTTTCCTCAGATTGTCACCCATCGTCTTTCCTGTCCCCTCCGTAATGTTATCCTCCCATCTCTTTCTCTCTCTCTCTCTCTTTATTTTTCCTTGTACAATTCCTAGCAGGGTTGTTTTGGAAAGTCCTGTGGATCTTGTAACATGCCCATATCACTTTAATTTTTATCTCTTCACTGTGGTCAGTAGATCTTCATGCTGCCCCATTGCGTTGGTGATTCTCTTTCGTACCTCAGCATTTGAAACGTGGTCTTTTTACGAGACGTCAAGGAGTCTGCGGTAACATCTCATTCTGTGGTCTGAATCTTTTTCTCTAATTCTGCTGTCAGTGTCCACGACTCGCAGGCATATACAAATAGTGAGATGACCAGTGAGCGCACTAGTCTGATTTTTGAGTTGTACGTGGCGTTTCTGTCCCACCAAATAGGCTTCAGTTTTGACAGCGCTGCTGTTGTTTGCGCGATTCTGGAGAGAATTTCTGGTTTTGAGCCTTCATCTGAGACGATTGATCAAAGGCATTTGTAGCTGTTGACGGTCTCAAGTTTCTGACCCCTGACTTTGATGTCCGCGTTGATGCCATTGGCATTATTGGTTTTCTCGGCACTGATCTCCTTGCTGTAGGCTGCTGAGGTTGTGTCTCAAAGTCACTAAAAGTTGGGGGCCATGTTTGCACTAATTCTACCTCTGAGACCAGGAGCCCCTTATTCACTTAAGAGCAAATATCCCGTGGCCCAACTTCTATTCAAGAAAGAAAGGTGTATTTTTCATCATCGGGGGGGGCAAAAAGGCTCTCTAAGTAGAGTAGTATGAAATCAACATTAACGGTGTGTGAACACTTGTCCTCTCCCACTTGGACAGAGGCCATACCTTTTTGTTTTTCAAAGCCAACTCAGTGTCGTTTCCCCGACGTTTGTTTTAGTTTTAGTGGCATCGGTAGCCTAATGGTTAGGCTACGGACACGTAATCGTGAGATTGTTTGTTCGGGGGTTCGAGAATCAGCTCGGTCCGACGTTGTGTCCTTGGGAAAGGCACTTTACCCGAATTTCCCACTTGGCTCAGTCCTTTCGGAGATAGGCGTTAAACTCTGAGGTTCCGCCTCTGAAATACCTAAGTGTTAACAGCGGCATTAAACCTAGACCATTTTACCATTTTATGGTTTTTGTTCTTGTAAGAGTTTTACGGCAGTTGCAACACAATAGGATGGTATAAGTGCGGAAGAGTAGAGGCATTACAAGAGAGTAAAAAGCACAAAAAAGAAGGAGGAGAGAGATAGGGATGATAGTTACGTGCTAGGAAAGAAAATGCAAACTACACAATAACACCCGCCAACCACCCGAACTCTGACCTTATTACTTAAGTTGTGATTTTGACGCACTTGTCGTTATGTGTGCAGAAATAGTCTTACTCGTCATGGTTTCTTTTCCCCCTTGCCCACTTAGATCTATATGAGATTGACGTACATAATTAATATAACATGTAACTATAACAGGTAGAAATTTTTTAAAAAGTACATAGATGTAAGTCAAGGATCTGAGAGAAATAATGATTTTATTGACAATGGTGGAGATAAGTGATGGTGTGGGATTGCCTCTAAGTAACGTTAGCGTTAGACCTTCCTCTGCTCCTATAAGTCAGGAGGGACGTAGGCACCCTCTGTTCCGTTCCCTACTGGAACTATCTTTAATGTCGCTGTGAAGTTCCAAAATGGCTCCCTTGTGAGTTACCTTATCTCTTTTGCTAACCGATCACAAAGCTTCGTCTTACCATTGTATTTGTGCGTCAAACGATGAAATCAGGCGCTTGTTAATAATTTTATAATGCATTGGAAGTAAGAGGTACTTTCCTTGATTAGCGGCACAAAAAACGTAAATTTTCAGTTTCCAGGGATCCGCAGGCTACGGAAGTTGCCTACCCTTCTCGGCTATTTTCTCGTTCATTTTACATCTGAAACCAGGCGATCGTCTCCTCCTTTAATAGCAAATATAATCTTGATCTCTATTCAAGACAGCTGGCCTATTTTTTATATTTGAAACCAAGACAAAGTAAGTGACTTTAAGATGATACCAATAACCCCACACTTACCCCCAAAAATTGACGAGCCCCTGATTTCACAGTGTCGTGACTCAATTTGATAATAAATTATGATCTAATAAAATTTGACCAGTAAAAGAAAATATTTGAAACGATAGATTCAGTCATACCTCCATCTTTTTCTAGAATATCAGACATAGGAAAATCTTATCTTTAATACTCGCTTCTCAACTTGTTCCATCGTCTTTTCCAGACATCCAATGCTTGAACTTAAAAAAAAACCCCACTGCCTCCAACGGGACAACTGTGGTCAAAATTTTTTTCTCTTAAATATCATGTAAATGATATATTAAAACCGTACTAACAACCCCCCAGAAATAGTCTTTTAAATTATAGTATAGCTCTTTTACTTCAATTAAAAAATTTATAAAGCCTTAGGCAGTTGCGAACGCCGTTAAACTCTAACCAAAGCAAAAACTTTTAAAGCGCATCATCATCATCATCATCATCATCATCATCATCATCATCATCATCATCATCATCATCAAAAAAGCCAAACAAAATAATTACCAGGTGGGCAGGGAGGGCGGACACACCAGCCAAAGCTAGGGCACAGAACAAAATGACAGCGTTCATCTTGACGGGCTTGTCTTCTTCCAACTCTGAAATAGACACAAGAAATTCACCTTTGGAAGTAGGTAATGGGTTTAGAGTTTTCTTCAATTCTGAAATCATTAAAACGAGACGCTAAGTCTTTTTTCAGTGATGGCATTGGTGGCCTAGAGGTTGGGCTGTAGGACCCGCAATTGTAAGTTCGTGGGTTCTAATCCCGTCAGAAACCCGCTGTTGTGTCTTTGGGAAAGGCACTTTCCTTGAATTTACCTCACGTCACCCAGGTGACAATGGATAACGTCTATAGACATATACGTTTTTTTGGTGTTTGAGAGCGTGTAATCTGCTGCATGCATTGTATACTTCCCGGAAAGACGAGAGTTTTTCTTTGTGTTAAAGGGTATGTTGGGATTATAATGCTTGTAAAGTGCATGGAGCATTTTGTAGAGCGTGGAAATGCACTTTAAAATCATAATCATTATTATCTTATTATAATGGAGCTAAGCCTGTTTGTGGGGTCAGTGAAAACTTTTAACACAGGTGCCCAAAAAATCTACAAAAATACGATTCAGACAAGAATTGCCCCAAAGGGTTACGTGGGCATATTTTCGAAGTTCGGAAACTACCTTTTGATTTTTCAGGTTTTATGGTTTTTCCTGTAAATCGAAGCTCTCAGATGTTTTACCTCTGCCATTAGCCATTTTATATTTTACTGAGGACTACTTCCGTTCCATATTGTGCTTCTTCGGGCGTGTGAGTAGTTTGCAAGAACAAAAGTGCGATTTGTGCTTTGTCGTGTGTGTGCCACAGACCTCTACTTTTTTGAGTAGTTAACACGGACACCAGTGCGGTTTGTGTTTTGTCGTGTGTGTGCGACAGATTTTTACTTTTTTGTAGTAGTTAGCAAGAACAGAAGTGCCGTTTGTGTTTTGTCGTGTGTGTATGCCACATAGTTCTATTTCAGCTGCTTCTATTGGCAAACGGAATATTAGTTTTTTTTGTTTTTGTTTTTTTACTGGGGACTACTTCCGTTTCATATTGTGCTTCATCGAGTAAATGGATCAAGTTGCATACCTTATCAAGACGCATTCAGCTAACTTGGACTGCTCGAAAGTGACACTGAGAAGGAAGCAGCAGTGCAAGAAGCATCTCCCATAAGATCTGGACCCCAGTTACGTCTTGCCTTTACAACCATTCTCATATATTGTCGCCCAACTGATCTTCTCTCATTTTGGCACAGGCACAAATTGGAACTGTGCCGGGACATCAAGATAAGAGACAAGGTCACAGAGTTGAATCCACAGATTGAGAACCAAGTGTTGCTACAACTTCAGCGCATTCTTGATAATGATGGGTTGAATCTGCATAAACACTTTCTGCTGCCACCTGCAGAACGCAGTCACGTTGAGCGAGAACAACCAAGAAATGTCCACGAGGAGTTCAATTTTGACACAATCTGAGAGACAAGGAGAGTCAAGAGAACCCAAAGCTTAATGAAGAACAAAGAGTAGTGTATGATGCTGTGATAGAGTCAGATGTACAGAAGCAAAGCAAGATATTTGCCCTGGAGGAAAGTGGACGGATTGGGAAAACCTACGCTATAAATCTGATTTTTTTTCGACTGTCCGTTCCTTTAAGAAGATCGCCCTTGCTATAGCTTTGTCAGTCATTGCAGCAACTTTGCTCTCAAATGGCAAAACATTACACAGCAGATGCAAAATACCTCCGAGTGTGAACGAACAGTCCATGTGCAGTGTGAGTCCCCGAGATGCCAGTGACAATTTATTACGCCAAATAGAGCTGCTGATCATTGATTAAGTATCGATGGGCCACAAATAAATGTTTAAAGCCATAGACCGAACACGTCAAGACATATGTGGGAATAACTCTCTGTTCCGTATGCTAACTGTGCTGACGTCGGGTGACTACCAGTAGTTCGCCATGGCTCAAGATCACCGAGAGTCAAAGCAACCCTGAAATCACCATATCTGTGGGAGCATGTTAATGTGCTCAGACTGACAAGAAACTTGAGGGTTTTTGCTTACACTTACAGGTGAGACTGCTGATTGCTTCAACTATCTACTGAACATTGGTGATGGCAAACACAACGTATGCAAGCAAATCGGGGACTTTGCGTTAAATCTGCCAGATGACATCGCACTGAATCACTATGAACAGCGAACAAGAGTTGAGAAATTTTGTCTTCGGTAACTTGCAGTCTAACACAAATCCTGACTGGCTGGCTTCCCGCTGCATCCCCTGTCCCACCAACACAGAAGTAGACAAAAATAACAACCTGATCCTGCAGTCCTTTCCCGGAGAAGAAAAAGTCTACAGGAGCAGTGATTCGGTGGAAGAAAATGAACACCAATACCCCCTCGAATTTATCAATTCTCTATGTACGTTAGGTATGCCACCCCACTAACTGACAGGGTCATGTTGCTGAGAAATTTGGATCCCACAAACGGCCACAGCAACGGGACTCGCTATGTGGTTCAACACTAGGCCCACAGGTTCAAAACCTTCATCAACATGTAATTGATGTAGTCGTTGTTTGCGGTCCACATGCCGGAAAGAAACTTTATCCCAAGGATTCTCCTCATGCCTACAGACAACATATTTCCCTTCCATATGCGAAGGAAACAATTTCCGGTCAGACCTGCTTTTGCAATGATTGCCAACAAAGCCCAGGGACAGACTTTGAAAAGGATAGGGGTTTCTTTACTGGGCGATTTTTTCCACATTGATAATAATAGGTCGCAAAGACTCGTGTTGGGTCCAGGGACTCTATTAGGATACATGCAAACAGACCTGCTGCACAGGACGAGTTCCAGATGGCGCATATACCAGCAATGTTGTCTACACAGAGGTCCTACGGCAATGAATCAGGTTCCGGCAAAAGCATTTTATCTTCGGCTTTCCCATCACTATATCACCGTTCGTAGAACGGGTCTGTGTCTAGTAGATATAATGGTGTGTATTGAGGAATATTTTTGAAAGCAATATGATATGGGATACATGGAAATGTTGCAAACAAATCAAGATAAAAAAAGATCGGCGTGAATGAAATTAAGATCTTTTGCTGAGAAAAGTTTCCTATTATTCGACCATAAAATCTGGAACTTCTTACCCCGGGATCTCAGAGAAATCATACAATAAATATTGAAACATTCAAGCGATTGCCCAAGATTCATTTGTTTAATTAATTGTTAGTTGTAGTGTGTTCGTAAGTGCTGATATGTTTTGGTTTTACTGCCGTCCTTTCGTGTATGTGATTAATGTATGGTTGTGCTGGTTCTTCTTGATGTGGTTGAATGGGTATTTCTTGTTACAGTGTAATATTCTATCCTGTGTGAATGAATTATTACGTTTCAGTCATCATGTAAATTGATTTAAAGCCCTCAGAGATTATACTCGTATGGGATAGAGCGCTATATAAATGCAATCTATTATTATAACTATTATTTTTCGTTATACAACAAAGTGTAAGGATTAGGATTTCACATCTCTGTCAACAGCATTAATTTTTTAAGAGGCAGGAGAACTGAATTTAATGTTCTTCTTGGAAAAGATTCAACCACATGCGCTGAGAGTCTTGAAAACTGCACGAACCAACCCAAGTTCAAGAACGCCCAGTCTAGGGCCATTCACTCGTAGCCAAACATGATATCAACTGAGCAAAAAGAGGCCCCATTCGTTAACATTAAAATTTCTAATTGAATCATTAATTTGCCTTGAAACAGATGGTGTCAATATCTTGAAGCTTATAGTGTAAGTACGTGTAATAGCCTACATGTTGTTGGGGACGTGTGTATATAGAAACGAAAATGAAATTTAAAAAAATATAATATAGAATAATTTAAAAAATTAAATGAAGTGCTGAAAAATGACATAAAATAAAATGCGATTAGGTTGAAGGAAATAATTGTATCGTGCAGGAAAGTAACAGTCCCTAGTATTTACCCTATTTAGCCATTAATCATACTCACATTATGCTTGTTCTATTTATTGTATTGTTGTCTACAAAACTCTTGAAAATCTTGCCTAATGTTTTCATAAGTTATGTCTTTTTACGAAAACAAACGAGATCTTTATTGCTAATGATGTTTGCTGGGTTTTTTTAATTGAAAAGTTATTTTCTTTGTTTTGTACTTTAAGCAAATGGAGAAACATGTGGTTTGAGGCCAAGAGATGTTTATTTGATTTGAAGACATGACCAAAGTTGAACTTTTAATGTTAACAATTGCAGTGATGCATTCTCATTGTAATAAATGTATTGCATTGTGGTGAAATTAGGCGCTGGTCAAAATAATGAACTCTAAGAAACTAGCATTTTATCGCAGGTTGGGTATAATCTTTTATGTCCATTTGAAAACCCATTTCCGTCTAGATTTTACTAAAACTTTGGCCAAAGGCACACACATATAAATCTGCACTCCCAAAGGCACAAAAGCTTTGGAAGTCACCAAACTTTGGCGGCGTTTTCCTGTTAATTCTGACACCAGGCGACCCCCTCCCCCCTTCCTCAATCATTAATATCTCAGCTTTTTTCCAAGTTGTATTAGTATTTTTTTTCATCAAAAGTAAGGCAAACGAACAGGCCCTGAGAGTATACCAATAATTTCATATTCCCTAAAATTGAAGATCGTCCAACTCCATAGTGTTGTGACACCAATGGCTACCCATTACTTAGTTTTGAGAAATTTGACGTTAAGAATTGTGAGTGTCGCAACATGGTCAATTGAATATCTCGTTTAACGATTCGGGATAATCCTACAACCTTGATAGAGTAGATAGAACATTTATTGGTTTCTGACCTCGTGGTCTAAGTGACTCGAAACGACCAAACATGTTAGATAGAACGTTGCAATTCTAAGATAGTGAAATGGTAACAAGAACCAACTGTTCTTGCAGTGGGTGTAAAACTCACCTCTTTGTGTCTGGACAAAGTCATTGATCTGAACTGGCCATTGGGTTTATATAGGCTGCTCCTCAATCCTACTGGTCACGATTTTGGACGAAAATTGACATGCCTGT